TTATTTAGATGTTAGATCTCCTGGATTGATACTTTACTTTACTTATCCCTTTTCTCCCATTTACCACCTGTCTGTACAGAAATCCTTCTTGCCCTGGCTGGTTTTGCTCAGTGGGTAGAGCGTCAGCCTACTGTCTGTAGGGTCCCTGGTTCGATTCCCGTCAAGGGCACATGCCTAGGTAGCAGGCATGATTGTTAGTAAGGGGAGTGCAGGAGGCAGCCAATTAATGATTCTCTTTCATCACTGATGTACTATCTCCCTCTTCCTTCCTCTCTGAAACCAGTAAACACATTAAAAAAATCTTTCTTACTTATTCTTTTGACGACTCCCAGAGCGACCGTGGAGATTGGTTTTCCATCTCTGCTGTCATGTTTTCAGTTTGCAGCACATGCACATCTTGCTTTGTTGCCGTGCAGAAGCACCCCGTTCCCTTCAGGTACAGAGTTAAATGACAGACGGATGCAGGAGTCACATAGACAGTATGAAAATACGATTTTTAATATCGATAAAACTTACTGAGAACATGGACTTAGATCTGCTGCCAAAAGGGCTGCTTGTTACTTTGCCTCTGAATTAGGCAGGTTCGTCCACTGAGTTCCAGATCAGCTGTCCGGCTGCAGACCCCCTCCAGCACAGGCCGCTGGCACATGACGAAGGTCAGTCACACCGTGTGCTCTCCGAAAGCAGACACAGCTCAAAGAGGAAGGAAGAAAGGGCTGAGTCCAATGTGCCCAGGGTTTTTTTCTCAACCCACCGGTCAGAGAGTTCGCTCTGTGGGGACAGAGCGGGTAAATGAAGGCAGTTTGAGAGCTGCGTGTCACCGTATCAGAAGTTGCTCCAACTATAAACCGGAGCCTGGGGAAGGGCACGCGTACCCCCATTTCAGGTTGGCTACCTGGAATGTTTCTGGGCCCCGGATGGACTTCTATAGCCGTCCCTTCGCGCTTCTCTCTGGCCTTCCTAGCGTGCTCTCGGGCGTGCACAGGAGCGAGGAGCCTCTTACAGAGGACACTAGCGAGACCAGGAAGTGGAGGGTGACATGGAACATTGCAACTTCTATGGCAACTTGGAGAAAAGAGGGCAGATTGATGGAAACTGTATCCAGAAACTTAGAGTCACGCCACCCTCCCTTTTCGAATTTTAAAAATTTGACCCTTAAATTAGTATTTGTATATTTAAATATACTTAAATACAGTAGAAACTGTCTACATGTTTAAATTAAAAAATTTTTAAAATTATTTTTATTGATTTCAGAGGGAGGGAGAGGGAGAGAGAGATAGAAACATCAATGAAGAGAACCATCAATCGGCTGCCTTCTGCACGCCCCCTACTGGGGGTCGAGCCCACCACCCAGGCATGTGCCCTGACCAGGAATCAACTGTGACCGCCTGGTTCATGGGTGGATGCTTAACTACTGAGCCACACGGCTGGGCAGAAGCTGTCTTACTTGACCTCTGCGTTAGCAGCTTAGAGGATTAGCTGATGCCTCTTCTCTATAAACATTATTGCCCGCTGGTGAGCGCTGGCAGGGGGCCTGCAGACCTCTCACACTTGTCCAGAGGCTTCCCAAGAGCTGTCCCCAAATCTGTTCCTGCCAGTTCTGCTTATTCAGTTAAGCATGTAGTTTGATGAGTTATGTAAACTGATGAAACACGAGTAGGAAGAGAATGCTATTTTAATGAAAACTATTTTAATCTCCCGGTAGACCGTCTAAAGGCAGGTTTCTAAAAATACTTGCTGTTGAGCTAGGCTGGAACGAAACAACCATCCGAGATTAGGGATTATCCTACCAACCTAGGCGGATTCTCCGCTCTGCCCGCTTTGCCAGCATCTTGAAGCCCTTGCTCCAACTTAAACTGAATCGTAATTTTTATGCAAGAAAAACAATACCCTGCCCTGAACTTGGAAGCTAAGGTTCCCCTTTGAGAGTTAAGCCACATGGTCAACACACAAATAATCCAAGTCTGCTCAGATCCACACAATGCCACTGAGGTCACTCTTGCTCGGTCCAAGGAGGCACTGACATTTAAAGAGAGAATGTGTCTGCCAGAAGGAATAGGCCTTGATGATGATGAGGGGGATGGAGAGCAGCAGATGGGCCAGGACTGTAAAAATAGAGAAGTGACAGAGAGGCCAGTGCCGGGCGGATCCCAGCCAGGACTCAGGGAAGCTTCTGCTCTGGCCTGAGGACCCAGCCTGCTTGGTCCTGGGCCGGGGAGATGTCTCTTAGACACGTAGAGTCATCAAGCCCCGATGCCTTCCATGCCTGAGTCATCCAACGGAGGGACCTGCTTCTGAGTTCATCCTCACCGTCCCCCCAGTCAGCGTGCCTGGTACCCGGCGACACAGACATGTTCCTGTGCTTTGGTCCTCGCTGACCTTCAGTCGTCTGCCTTTCAGCTCATCTGAAAATGGCTGAGTCAGGTGATGAGGACTCTGCCCTCCACTAGCGATGTGCTGGCAGTAGGAGGTGCTGCATCCGTCCGGGAGGGAGAGGCAGACTTCGGACTATGAGGAATTAACAAAAAGTGATGAGGGCTGAGGGCAGGCCGCCAGCCCGAGTCTACCTGACCCTCCCAGAGACGCCTCCTCTTGGAGCCCACGCTCTTCAAGCGTGTCCAGCTTCAGCCCCTTCTTGGCTGTTTTGTGGGACACCTTCGCTCTTTTTTGATTTCAGGGACTAGAATTAATCATTGCTGAAACAAAGCTCTAAATCATAATGAGTAACGAGGTGTTTCTTCGAAAACTCCCACGGAGGCATCTGGGAATTTGATTATGTTTCCTAAACGTGTGAGTATTTTCATGGGCACACACAGCACCTACTCGTACAGTGGTAGCTCTAACGAGTTCTGTATTGTTTGGAAGCAAGTGCTCCGGAGCCTTAGGCCTGGACACGGAGCCCCTTTGCATAAGGAATGTCGGAGCCGTGATCCGACACTCAGTGCAGGTCGCAGCACACGGAACACCAACAAGCCCTGACCCTCGCGTTGCCAAGGCAGCTTTGGCTCGGCCTGGAGTTAGTCTGACGTCTTCCCGCGCCCGGGCTTTCACAAAGAGCAGACAGCTCTGAGCGCCATCGCGCGGGGTGGCACCCAGCCTCTCCAGGTCGCTCCCCTCCTCTGTGTGCACCAGGCACAGGCGTCCCCGTCATGGGGACGAGGGACGGCGACAGTGATCAAGTTTCCTGGGTAATGGCCAGGTCCCCGCTTCACTCCAGGCCGTGGATGCTCTTATGAGCAGGCAGCGATATTCTGGAGCTGCTCAGTGCCCCGCGTGCCTGACAGTGTGGCTCTGAGCGGAGCGCGCAGGGGGAGGGCCTGGGCGCTGTGCCTGTCCCTCTGATGCTGCACAGCTCGGGAGGAATGTTTCAGGATCAGGGCAGCAGAAAGCCCAGGCCCCTCCCTCGCCCTCTGATTTGCCACATGAAGGGCCTCCCTAGCACCATTAAGTTTGCTTTTTCGGGAAAAGGCATTTACCATGCGATTAAGTATAAAAAGCACTTGGCACTCCTCGCTGTCTTCTATTGGGCAAATCTGGCGATTCATTGGAAGCATTTTGTAAAACTTCGTTTTGAAAGAATCTTACGTTTTGGGAAAAGATGTAAGAAATTAATAAAAAGCCATCTGTGCTATAGACTTCACCAGGTTTTTAGCAATTGTTACCATTCTGCCGCTTTTGCT